ACTAATGTGAACGCTGGTATAGTGCTGATTTAATCAAATATATTGATACATTAATTAGGAACTCAAAAAACAAAAAGTCCTATCACCCTCATAACAGTTGTGCTGTGAGTGATTTCAGAGGGACAAGATCCTAACTTGGAATCAATAGACTAATAGCTGTTCCAGGCAAACCAATCAGTAAGGAAAACTCCCTCTGACGGATAGCTGTAGTCAGTCAAGAAATTATTTTGCAGGAGGAGGTCTGTGTGAAGAAACATAGATTATAAAGTTGAACAGACTCAGCATGGATGTTCACTCAGATGGTAATTAATCAACTTGTCTCAAATTGAAACCATCAATCCACTGCATCAGCGGATAGTTAGGCTGTATAGTGGGAAAATAATTCACTCTCAGAGGCTCATCCAGCAGAGACCATCAGGGGGCTGTCACCCTCATAAAGGTTGTGCTATAAGCAGGGGCGGACTGACCATTTGGAAACTTGGGCACTGCCTGAGGGCCAGTAGGAGGCCCCATGAGATGCCCCTGGTACCTTTTTCATAGGCTTTTTTGAGTTTGGGCAAGGACACAGGGGCCCCATGATCCCCTATTGCCTGGGGGCCCCAAGAGTTGTCAGTCCGCCTCTGGCTATAAGTAGCTTCAGACAGACAAAGTCCTGGCTTGGAATCAATAGACTGATAAGTGTTCCAGGCAACCCAAGCAATGGGGAAAACGCCCTCTGGCGTGTGACTGTAGTCATTCATTAATAATTTTACAGAAGGAGGTCTGTGTGAGGAACATGGATTGTGAATTTGAACAGACCAGCATGGAAGTTCATTCAGGTTGTGATTAAACAACTTGTCATCAATTGAAACCATCAATCCACCCCATCAGTGGATAGTTAGGCTGAATGGTGGGAAAGCAATCCACTCTCAGTGGCTGATCCAGCGGGGACCATTGGAGGGATCAGTTAGGTATAGTTCAAAATAAATCCCACTTACATTGCTGCTGTCACCGTGGTCCCGGTATAGTATGCACTAGGTCTCCACACTTCAGCCAAGAGAGGATCAACACTTATCCTATATCAAGTGGCAGACATCCTCTGGAGACAGGTGATCCCACATGGACAATCCAGCACTCCAAGTGCAAATGGCCCCAGAGCACTCCTTCCGGGTCAAGGCAATATCAGACCTCCATACATGCAGACTGACCGAATCCCGTAGAGGGTTGGCAGGCTATACTGGTGTAATTGGACATCAATACATGATCCCAGGGTATCCTAGGAAGAAGCTACTGTCGACGCATTTCACCCTTTCAACTTATACACAGGCTTTGTCAAGACCACTTGGGGGCAACCTACATTTTCAATTTATTTGCTCAGCCTCATAACAAGGCTACTTCAGCATTAGATGGTGCCCTTGAGAAGCTCAGCTGCTATCATTTACCCTGATTCAGGTTATACTTATTTAACTATTTAAAAACCACAAGTTTCAAGTCAATACATATTGGCCATTTTGGGAGCAAAGGAATGTCAGCATGGAAAAACAGATTGGCAAACATCAAACACACAGGAATAGCCCACATCTCCATCCCAATGCAGAGAGGCCATCCCTGCAGGGGCAAACCATCAACCAAATGACAGTTAATTACCCCATATTTTAAAAAATATCGAAAACATTTTCTAACTCAGAGCCTACCTAGAAAAAAACACACCTACATTCATCTCATTATTGAGGCCATTTGGGACCAAAGTTCCTAATCTATAGATCCAACGTTTTTTTTCTTGCTGGAGGAGTACTTTATCAAAGTCGCTACTTCTAGCAGATAATTTTAGGGCAAAGAACCCCTTAACTTTAAAGCCCTCAGTTGAGCCAGAATGATTTTCTTTGAAATTAAGTGCTAGGGTGTTCACTTTTTCTCCCTGTTTTGGATCACTTTTACTCCTAATGGCTCTAAGATGTTCACCAATCTGGATATGCAGAGATCTTTTTGTCTTACCTATATAAAATGTACTGCAGGGCATTCAATCATATAGAGTACCCTCTTCATAGAGCAGTTGAAAAGCTCTTAATATCATACATTTTCACACATCCTAGTTTTCTCAACAAAGGAACATATGAAGCAATGTCCACATGGGAACATTCCAGTAATAGATGGTAACCAGCTGGATGAAGGAATTATAACAAATTCTGAATGTACCAAAATATATTTTAAATTACTCGCTCTTTTAGCTACCATGGAAGGTTTTGGGCCTACAATTTGGGCAATAACAGAATTAGAGGTCAAGAAATGCCAATGTTGGGAGAGTATAGATCTCACCCTCCCCCATTGGGAACCAAACCTCCTAATAAATCTCGTCAGACCCTGTTTTAGAATTTCACCTCTTCTGGAAGCTTTAGTGGACTGTTGGAATAAGGCTCCACATTCCCTTCTTATGACCTTTTTTTGCTACTTTCAAAGTCCTATGTGAATATTCCCCGTTCAGAAAATCTTTAGTACATCTGATTGAACTCATGCCTAAAATACCTAGAATTGTGTACAGTTCTTCCTAATATGAAGGAACTGACCTACAGTAAAGCATGCGCACATCACTCCCATACTCAAAAAACCTCCTTGGACCCCACTGACCTGAACAACCTTAGACCCATCTCCCTGCTGCCATTCACTTCCACGCTCCTTGAGCGCTTAATCTACAATCGCCTAAGCTCCCATCCACCTTACCAACCGCTCCTCTTCTGCCACCCCCCTCTGTCATTCCCTCCACTGGCTCCCGATTGCCCAACGCATCAAATTCAAACTACTAACACTGACATAAAAAGCCATTCATAACGCTGCCCCAAACTACCTCACCGACCTGATACCCAAATACCACCCAACCCGTAATCTTTGCTCCTCACAAGACCTCCTACTTTCTAGCTCCCTGGTCTCCACCTCCCAAGCCCGACTGCAGGACTTCTCCAGGACTTCCCCCATCCTCTGGAACTCACTACCCCAATCCATCAGACTGTCACCTACCCTCCTCACCTTTTAGGCGCACCCTGAAAACTCATCTCTTCAGGGAAGCCTACCCCACCCTCACCTAACTGCCGATCTCCTCCACTCCTCCTACCACTCCATCCCCCACAGCCACTTCCTCCTGTGCCACTATCCCCTCCCTCCTAGATTGTAAGCTCAAAAGAGCAGGGCCCTCGAACCTCTTGTGTATTGTTTTGTTACTGTATTGTCTCATGTACTGTCCCCCACTATAATGTACAGCGCTGAACAAAGCTTTTGGCGCTATATAAATACTGTATAATAATACCATAAGGACATCTTCGATGTGCCTGAACCGTGTCAATGCATGGGTCAGGAACAGATGAGAATGGTATACTACGTCAAGCTCCCATTTCCCCAGATGCAGGCAGGCATAGGCTGGAGCCCACGGGGCACCCATTAACGTTCCTCTAATTTGTTGATAGTAGGTGCCCAGAAATTGAAAAAAGTTGTTATAAAGTTAAAAATCAAGTAGTTCTAGAATGAACTAATTTTGGGCCCCAAAATCGAAATAATTAGTATCAAGGAAGGAAGCAACAGCCAACAGACCACATTGATGGGGTATAGAAATGTAAAGCGATTCCACGTCAATCCCCACAAGAAGGGCCCCTGGGGAGATCTCTAATTCCTGTATCTTACAAAGGACATCTGTAGTATCCTGTACATAAGAGGGCAGCTATGTTACCATGTCCTTGATGAGATTGTCCAGGTATTGTTCCACGATTTCTAGTGGGCCATTTACTGCCAAAACAATTGGTCTACCTAGCAGTTTAGTTGAATTTTTATGAATCTTAGGGATAACGTAAAACGTCGGTATGTTAAATGTTTCTACTCTAATATAGTCAAAGAGCTTCTTAAAGAGTAAGCCCGCCTCCTTGCCTAGTTGTAATTTATAGTTAAGTTGGGAAACTAAATGTGGAAATGGATTTGGTGATAATTTCAGATAGGTTGAGTGGTCCCCCAGTTGTCTATGCACGTCTGCAACATAATCAAGATCATTTAGTAGTACAACATTACCACCCTTATCACTACTTTTTATCACAACATTATGTGCATTTTTAAGTTCATTAAGGGCTCTCCGTTCATCCCGCAAAAGATTATAATATATAATGTCCACCAAAAGCTGAAGTTTCACGTTTGGATAGACTTGGCCTTTAAACAATGTTCAGCTTACAACTGCCACAGGCTGAATAAAATTATTGGGCTGATTTACTACATTAACTGTGAACATCCAGTCATGTGTAGATGAAATAAACAGAGATTTTTTTGGAAACCTCAATTTCTTGATTCTCATTTAAAGCAGAATTTTATATATATATAAAATATTATCTATTATTCCAGGCAGCTAAACATATGTAGAATTTCATTGCACAATTTAAAGAAAGCAGTTTAATTTATTGCTGCATGGGTTTATACCCAGCTTATCTCTATTGGAACTGCAATTCAGTCTTAAAACCCCAAGGACTATTGCGTATTTCCTGTGCCTTATGATGATAACAGACAAATATGAATCAATGTTTGATAAATATAAATGCCATTGAATGTACTGTATGAAAGAAGTTGCTTTTATAACTCTTCATTCAGTGTATGGTCAGAGTTCACATGTGTATACTTAAGAAATTCTGAGATTACCAAGTTATGTAAGCGCTACTTTATTAAGGTGAATAGATTTGTTATTGCTGTTTACTGCATGCTGTAAAGATGGAATAGTTTTGTGACTAAGGGCCTGAAAATGAACAAGAATAGGCATAAATTACTATGGTTTGCTTACATTGCAAGATTTTGTAAGGAAAAACAAAAGAAAAACACACACATATATATATATATACACACACATGTGTATATATATATATATATATATATATATATATATATATATATATATATATACACTAGAATGCCAGAAATATTGGGACACCCCTCCAAATCATCAGATTCAGGTGTTCCAATCACCTCCATGGCTACAGGTGTATAAAAGCAAGCACCTAGGCATGCAGACTGCATCTAAAAACATTTGTGAAAGAATGGATCACTCTCAGGAGCTCAGGGAATTCAAGTGCGGTACGGTGATAGGTTGCCGCCTGTGCAATAAGTCCATCCGTGACATTTCCATGCTAATAAATATTCCATGGTCAACTGTTAGTGGTATTATAACAAAGTGGAAGCAACTGGGAACAACAGCAACTCAGCCACAAAGTGGTAGGCCATGTAAAATGACAGTGCGGGGTCAGCGCATGCTGAAGCGCACAGTGCACAAAAGTTGCCAACTGTCTGCAGAGTCAATAGCGAAAGAGCTCCAAACTTCATGTGGCCTTCAAATTAGCACAACAGTGCATAGAGAGCTTGATGGAATGGGTTTCCATGGCCAAGCAGTTGCATCCAAGCCTTGCATCACCAAGTGCAATGCAAAGTGGTCGGATGCAGTGGTGTAAAGCATGCTGCTACTGGACTCTAGAGCAGTGGAGATGTGTTCTCTGGAGTGACCAATCACACTTCTCTGTCTGGCAATCCGATGCACATGTCTGGGTTTGGCGGTTGCCAGGAGAACGATACTCGCCTGGCTGCACGGTGCCAAGTGTAAAGTTTGGTGAAGGGGGGATTATGGTATGGGGTTGTTTTTTTCAGGGGCTGGGCTTGGCCCCTTAGTTCCAGTGAAGATAATTCTTAAGGCATCAGCATAGCAATACATTTAAGACAATTTCATGCTCCCAACTTTGTGGGAACAGTTTGGGGATGGCTTCTTCCTGTTCCAACATAACTGCGCACCAGTGCACAAAGCAAGGTTCATAAAAACATTGATGAGTATGTTTGGGGTGGAGGAACTTGACTGGCCTGCACAGAGTCCTGACGTCAACCCGATAGAACACCTTTTGGGATGAATTAGAGCGGAGACTGCGAGCCAGGCCTTCTTATCGGACATCAGTGCCTGACCTCACAGATGCGCTTCTGGAAGAATGATCAAACATTCCCATAGAAACATTCCTAAACCTTGTGGACAGCCTTCTCAAAAGGGTTGAAGCTGTTATAGCTGCAAAGGGTGGGCCAACTCAATATTGAACCCTACGGACTAAGAGTGGGATGCCAATAATGTTCATGTGTGTGGAAAGGCAGGCGTCTCAATACTTTAGGCAATATAGTGTATATAGTGTCTAAGAGAGAAGGTTTTACCATTGGAAAGAGATCTCTTGTTCTCTTGTGTCTCAAAGAAGGAAGTAATAAAAAAATCTCCAGAGTGAGACACTCTAATCAAATAAAACATATAAACTTGTTAGAGATTTTAAGTTTTGGCTGTAGAGATGTAGTGTAGTAGGAGACCATGTTCATTTTTAAACACACTTTTTTTCTAGCTTAGGTGACACATGTGTCCCACTAGAGTCCTCTAGCATGGGACTCCCCAAGTTCCAAGCATTTCACCTGCAACAGCCTGGAAGTGAGTCAGCCTGGGGTGACCAGGACTCAGGGCTCTCTTCCAACTCACTAAAGCCTTAATATAAGCGGACCATATTTTGACCACAGTGCTCAGGGTCGTTTCCTAGAAAAGCTCAGTTCTTGTAGAATATGCAATCAGGCTACATAAGGAAAGTCTTTTCTGAATGTTTACTTAAACAATGGTTTAAACATAACAGTTCAGCCATCTATGGAGGGATGATGGCACATGGTTTCAATAGTGGCAAATAGTTCACAGTAAATTTAGATTCACAGAGAAAATAATGAGATTTTCTTTTGGTGCTTAAATTCAAACATGTATACAAAACCTTTTTTTTTTAAATCCTTTTTATTTTTTTATGTACATATAGTGCTTGGAGGTGTCCGTCCACGTGTCCAAAAGGCAGGTACCAGTTCATGTTTGACCATTACTTTTATACATCCTATTTTTTATCGATGGAATCCCTAATGGATACCATAAAATAAATGTACATAAATGGTAGGGGAGAATGGGGCACCAACTCTGGAGTCTTGGTTCATGTACTGTAACCACATGGCGCTGTCCCTTTGCCCAGTCCCTCTGGTCTGGGGTTTGGCGAAAAAGTAATAAGTGGCACTTGGTGAAGCAGGCCAAAAGGGTGATGTCTGCTTAAGCACAGCCACAAGCTGGGCAGACTGGCCAAAGCAATATTTCTTTTTCTTTCATGCAGGTTTTGGTTGCTCCTTTCAGCTGCCATGCTGCTACATGTGCCATGGGTATGCGGGATATCTCTCTTAACAGCTCTATCAAGGTGCTCCTGGAATCCTGTCCAGCTTTTACAACTCTAAAACTACTCCCATGTTGTAATACAGTCTTCATGTATTTGGCAACAACTACTGTACATCAGTAATCAGTAGAGATATATTATTCAACCAGTAGATGGCAGTGTTTATACGTTTGTAGCTCCATCTATGATAAACTCTATGTCTTTTCTCTAAAATAAAGTTCCTGTTTCCTTTTAGCAGAAAGCACATGTGGATTGTGCACTGTCTTTTCTGTAGGGCTATATACAGAATCTCTAACAGGCTATGGGCCCAGACACTCAGTCATAGTCTGCTACAGCAAAAGATGTACAAGATACAGGAGTAGAAAAAAGACTTCAACGGAATAAAAGAAAATGGCCAGTAACACAGCTGCAACAAAGCTTTCATTTGCAAAACTGACCAGAACTACTAGTCTTGGAAATTCTAAATGAAAATGCTGCTAATAAGAGAAGGTATGTGGAAATATTCTGTAGGACTACATACAGAATCTCTAACACCCCATATGGAGAAGTGACAATAGGGCTGACTTACTGCCTACATGGTACTTTATATCAGTGGTTCTCAACCTTCCTAACGCCGCAACCCTTTAATACAGTTCCTCATGTTGTGGTGACCCCCGACCATAAAATTATTTTCGATTGCACGGGTGGGGAGGAGCCTGAGCATGGCGCTGAACGGGAGATCAAGGTAGGACCTCCCATCACCAGGCTCCCCCAGCACTCCGTCAGCCTGTCTGCATGAAGGGATAGTTGAGAAGGAGAGAGGGTAACTTGCCTGCCATTTCTATCGGTGGAGTGCGGGGTGTCCTGGAGCCCGGTCCGCTCCCAACTTGCTGGTGGTGCGGTGGTGCGGTGGAGCGGGCTGGAGCTTAAGGGGCAGGAGGAGGTGTTGAGCCCTGGACAGCTGGAGCCCGTAAGACGCCAGGCGGCCATGTAACCAGCCGCAAAGTAGCACTGGGAGCAGGAGCTGCCGGCCGGTCTAAGGGAGATCCGCAACCCCGAACACGCCTCTCTCCCTCACTCCATAGACTGAACACTATAGGGGACTGCTGTGGTTGCTGAAATTTTGCTTTCTCATAGAGGACATTGTCTGGGACTCCTGTCTTGTGAAATAAGATGAACCAGAGGGACCATCTCTTACAGCCCCCCCTGTCGGTAAAAAACCTTCTGTTGCCACCCCCCAGAAGTGAGGGCTAGGAGGGTGAGTGAATATGACAGACTGTGATAAAAGTGATAAATATGATAATTTAAAAAATTAAGGCTGAAATAAACTTGGCTGGATAAAGGTTGGGGGGTTGCTGGTGAGAGTCACCTGTGAGATGGCAGTCCTCATGCGGGGTTAATGAGGGAGAGGGGAGGATAGAAGACAATAGTCAAAGGAGAAGAGGAGAAGGAAAGATAATAATTTGGAAGAGTTGATGATTGAATCCTTTTGATATTGAAAATATATCAAAATGAAGAACAAAGGACTAACGGCAGGTTGGTCAATCAAGAAATATATACCGGGACAGGACAAACAGACCCCTAAGAGGCAAATTGGATTAAAGGAAAAGAGTATGATAGAGAACAGCAGTGATGAGAGCTCCAGATTATGCTTGGGAATGTCTATTACAAGTCAAAATCTAGAAGAAGCAGATACCGAGAAAACTGGTGGGGTGGAGACTATAGAAGATCAAGATTCACACCTGCCAACTAAATTAGAAAGAGCAGAAATGTTTAAAGGTTTGGAAAGATCTATAAAACAAGAGATGGGAAAGTTACATATAGACTAGGGGCAGGTGCTATCTAGAGTGGAGGAGATGGAAATAAAAACAAATAAGCACGCCCAAGTGATACAGAATTTAGAAAAACAAATGGTGGAACTGAAAAAAGAACAAAGGAATCTGCTATACAAATTAGAAGAGCAGGAAATTAGTAACAGAAAAAGGATACGAGGATACGAGGTCTCCCTGAGATTTCCCATGGAGAAGACCTGAAGGAAACAATAGAGAAGATGTTTGATATCAAAATGGACAGATCTGCAGCAGAACCCTATAAAATTGATGGGGTGTATAGGGTAGGAAGATTATATCAAGAGGGTAGGAATAGAAAATTGAGAAATGTTATTGCTCAATTCCACCATTATAGTGATAAAGATGAGATTTGGAAGAGGATGAAGGGAAGAGCGGTTATAAAATGTGGAGAAATAAATATACAGATCTTTGCTGATCTGGCTGCAGAATCACTGTGTAGAAAGAAAATCTTGAAACCATTAGTAGAACAAATGAAGAAGCAGAACGTTCGATATAGCTGGGGGTTCTCAGCATGTTTAATCGGTTGGAAGAATGGGCGCTCTGCAAGATTAAAGTATCCTGAAGAATTAAGAGACTTTTGTGAGAGACTTGAGTTGCAGAATATAGATGTTCCTGGGTGGGGAGTGGGGGAGGTGGAGAGGAGGAATATGGATAATGAAAGGTGGCAGGCAGTCTAGCAGGAAGGTGGAGAGAGGAGGGAGGTGGGATGGGGGGAAGAGGGGTGTAGTGGAGGGGAGGGGGGGTGAGCCTAATGGTGGGGGATTTGTTGTTTTTTTTTTCCTCCTCTCTCCCCCCCTGATTTTCTCCCCATCTCCTCTACTTTGGTTCCCTCCCCCTCTCTTCCATTTTTTTTTCTCTTCCTTTTCTTCTTTCTTTCTCCTCTTTTTTTTTTTTTTCTTGTAGGCTGGTCTGGTGGGACGTTGGGGGAGGGTAAACAGGATGTGGTGTTCAGGCGCAGGGCTCCACCCTACAATGAATAAAAGGTGGGACTTGGACCACAAATGATTCATAGGCAAAAATATGGCCTAAAAAGGGAAGGGGGAGGATGGGGGGGATGGGATGGGAGGAAGGGAGGTGGGGATGGGAGGGAGGTTGGTAGGGAGGGAGAAAGATATGGGAGGAGGAGGGGTAGCCTTAGATTTTTGCAGAACAGTAGGAGATATTTTAGTCTGGAGAAAGTCTGGAGAACGAAGGAAAAGGAATAATGAAGAGAGGGTGAGAAAGGTGATTTCAATTTGTGTATGGATCCACAGATGGATGTGGCCTCTCTGGTGCAGAGAGATAGCAGTAGGTCTCTGAAAAACTTGAAAAAAATGTTATTTCAATGTCAACTTGTAGATATTTGGA